CTTTGCATTCAAATATTAAAGCAGAGAACAACACAGATGCTTCTAGAACGGGGGAAATGTTTGTAAGGGGACATCTATGGAGTCAGGGAGGGGTCAAAATGATTGGATATCTGCAAAATATAGTAAAAACAGAAAAAATAAAAGTTGAAATTAAATATTAAATGTTCACCTTATCTGAAAAACTGACAAAGAAATGTAAAATAATAAGGATTGAAATTTTAAGTACCTTTTTGTTATTTTAATTTCCTTTTTATTGCATTTTCAGATTCAAACCCATTTTTGCCAAATCCTGATATTTTTCAAATTCCTTTTTTTCTATTTCGGATGTTTGATTTTTTTTATTTTTAATAAAGTTTTTTAACTGCTTGTCCTGTCTTCGCTCAGACGTGCGATTCGATGAGCGCTCCCCTTGAATGTGGCGACCTGGAGGATGTGAGCGTAAATTTGACTGCCACCTTTGATCCTGTTGGAGGCGCGATCCTGGCCCTCAGGAACCAGGTGGAGGATCTGTGCAATATGGAGCTGGGGAAGATCGCCAACCAAGGTGCGTGAGCAGAACCTTTCTGGTTTTGGATTCATGTTGGTCATTTTCTTTCATCTCATAACTTTTATTCCATCTAATCTCTTTCAGTCAATAGCACCCAACTTTATACTCTGAGGAACTGTAAGTATTAAGTATTGCTTTTTTTTTTTGCCATCAGATGATCGGTCAATATATTTAGACTTTTTCCTTAACGAGAATGTGTCTGATCTATTTTTAGCCGGCCGGGCTGGAGTGAAAGACGGATTTGCTAAATGTGAGTTTTCTCTAAATAAACTCAAGGGGAACCATATAAATAATACTTACAAGAACTTCTCCAATTCTTTCTAGTGTTTAATATCAACTCAAACAACCGTTCCGCATCTCCACTGGGTCTTCAGAGTAAAGGCCGAAAAGGACAAGGTACTGCAACTCCTATTCTTGATTTGCTTTTAGAAAAAAAGTCTATTAACGTGCTTTCCATGTCCAACAGGCCCTGCAGCCCTCGATGTGAGGAGCAGGGACACACCCCGAGGTGAGGTTTCTAAAAGAGAGCTTTTTTATCTTTAAAGAAAAGAAAGAAAAAATGAGTACAAAAATCGTTCTTTGTTGCAGACAGAGGAAATACAAGCTCTCCCGGACAGGGGAACAGACGGAGAAGAGAGGAGAGAGAGACTGGTAAGTGGGCTTTAAAGAATCCAGCACTTTGTATTCAGCCCCATTTACTCTGGAGCCCTTAAATAAAAGCCAAGGCTGGTAGGGTTTTAATCAGAAAGCATGTTAGAGGGTGTGAATACTTTTTTAAGGCCACTTTAACTGATTTCTTCACCTTTGACCTTAAAACAGAGCGAGAGGCCCAGCCCAGTCCCAGCAGGGCTCGGTCTCTGTGGAGCAGGTCCAGTCAGATGTCAGTCGCCTCAGCTGCAGCTCCGACTTCAATCCCAGCTGCTCAGGTTCCTGTACCGGTTCCTGCACCCGTTCCAGCTCCAGTTCCAGCTCCAGCTCCAGCATCCAGCAATGGTGCGCTTCCATTGCTGTCTTTTCTCGCCACCATGTGGATGCAAAAGGAGGTTGCAGAGATAAAACCCTGCAACCTCCATTTGGTAAAAGAAATAATTTTCATTAAATATTTATCTTTTCTAATCCTTGCAGCTTTCAGTCGGATGGCGTCCATCAATGCGTCCATCAACAGCATATTTCGTTCACGCCGGCGAGGCACCAACCAGGCCACCCCGGTTAATAATGCAGGAGGGAACCCATGTAAGGCCCCTATGCTTCCTCCATAGCGTGTCAAGGAAGGAAAAAAAAAATCCCAAAATTTGATTAAAACCGAGGAGTCTACATCTTATTTTTCCTCTAACCTGTCTTTGATTCCTCAGGGGCGATGGACACTGTGTCTGAAACACCAACAGAGAGTAAGAAGGCTGCTCTTTATCAGTTGTCTGTAATAAATTCCCAGCATTTAGTGAGTTTCTGATCGTTGTTTCTCGTTGGACAGTTAACCCAGGTCTGTTCTTGGACACCCCTCTGCCGGACGCCATGACTCAAGCTCCAGCTTTCCCTGCCTGTGAGTCCACGCTGTTCTTTAGAACCCTGAAACCTTACATGTCATTACTCAGTCAAGGATAAACTCTAAGATCTGCTCATGGGCTGTGATTTTTCCTAGTGAGAGAAATCAACCTTGACAGCATTCAGGCACCAGAACCCAGAACCAGGGAGGAGTTCCTTCAGTGTGAGTGGATAAAGAATTACAAACTAAAACTTCTTTTTAATTGTTTAAATTTAATATTTTTTTCTTTATCCTGTAGTTTCTGTGAGCCTGACCCTTGACCCCAACACGGCTCACAAGCGGTTGGTTCTCTCTGAAAGCAACACTAAGGCAACCTTGCAAGGACCGACACAGCAATACTCTGACAACCCGCAGCGCTTCGACGGCTGGACCCAAGTGATGTGCCAGAGCCCGCTGAACTCCCAGCGCTCCTACTGGGAGGTGGAGTGGAGGGGCAGGGGCTCCTCTATGGGGGTGGCCTACGGGGCACTGAGCAGGAAGGGCACCGACGCCCGCTCCGGCCTCGGTTACAACGCCCAGTCGTGGACCCTGGAGCTGTCAGACACCTGCTGCTTGGCCATGCACGACAACGAGAAGAGGGACATTCCGGTTACCTACTCGCCCCGTCTGGGCATCTACGTGGATCTCTCTACGGGAATGCTGTCCTTCTACAGCGTGGCGGACAACATGACGCACCTCCACAGCTTCAGGGCCAACTTCACCCAGCCGCTTTATCCCACCTTTGGAGTAGGGAGCGGGGTCGGGGTTGGTCTGGACTTCGCCCTTGGACAGTTTTCGGCTAGCTCCGACAGCATTAAGATCTGTCCTCTATGAGGTTGCAGTGCAACAGCTCCTTGATGAGGACATTTAAACTGGGAGGTAAATTATCCAGTGTGGTTCCATGATTTCTTTCTGGACTCGAATGCACCCACGACTTCCCCCTAAATAACAGCCAGAAATCTTTATGTATTTTATTGATTTTTTTCTGTGACAAATCAATTGAAACTGGTGCATAATTGCAAAGTGGAAATACTTTTTAAACATGTTTGGGGGATATTAATTATCTGCTTTGCATTTTTACAGAACAGTAATGTTACTCATTCTTCTTTGCAAAACTTTTCTAGCTCAGATTGGATATAAGGACAAACCTGGCAACAAATTTTCAACTGGACTGACTTTTGTACTTTGACTAGACCATTCCAATACATGAATATACTTTGATCCAAACCTGCAGGAAAGTTGAACTCTGCCCTAGTCTGAAATCTTTTGCTGTTAAGATGCATCTGTTCTTCCCCGGGAAGTGTCCCAAAATTCCCGCAGCATGTTGGGGCCACCTCCGTGTTCCATGTCAGGAATGTTGTTTTAAAACTTTTCTTACTTTGCAGTAACTTACAGGATTTCACCATATTTAGCTCCTCCCACCTGCCTGCAAATCGCGTGACATTGCCACCTAAATTATCATGTTCATAATAAATAAGTTGGACTGTATCCTCTTGGAAAATGTTTCTGTTCAAGTCAAATTTATATAAAAAAAACAGACATTTTAATTTCAGTAACTTTATTTTACAAAAAAAAGGCAATAACATAAAATCCTGATTACAGCAGGGAAACAAGGAAGTTCTGCGTTATCTTTGTCCACCAAAAGCCATGAAGCTGAGCTTTCTGTTCGACAAGAAAAACAGGATATGACAACAACAACAAATCTAAAAGATGCAATCACTCAAAAGTTCTCCATTTTAGCAGAAAGTCCCTTTTCCTTTCCACAACTCTTCATTGAAACATGTGCAAGGCAGAATATTAACTTCTCACAAAAATAAAGTTTATGTTCACATGGTTTCCCTTTAGGTGGAAAAAATGCAACATAAATAAAATCTTTAGCTTATTTATTAACAAACACGTTTATTAATTTCTGGATTTAAATACTTTAAAACATCAGTCAGTAAAGGTTAGCCACAAACAGAAGGTTAAGGTTTTGGGATGTTTATTTAGGGGGCATTGCTTATTTCAAGTACTTTAAAGATGTGAAATACCCCCATCTGCTGGTCAATGTTTGTACTGCATTTTCCCTTAACCCGCAGAACTGATCAGAAAAGTGTTTTTCTCCTTCCTCACAGTCTGAAGCTGACCTGTCTAATGAAGAGATAAAATATTCTGTTTAGTTCAAAACTGATCTGCTGAACCAACTAAGTGCAAACTATACAACAAACTTTCATGAAAACAGTGCTTGCCTTTAATTAAGGCCTCCTATTCTTAAAAATATACAAAACACAAAGACCTGAAGAAACCCTCCCCCATCCCTTTTGTTTTTGTCCATCTTAGTTTAGGCCTTGCTTTAACCAAGACCCACCTGTCTGCTGACAGATGCATGCTGGGACATGTAGGCAATGTTTTTCATGCAGACACTTTTGCCACAGCACATGGACGGAAAATTTAAGGTATGTTAATATTAAAAATCAATCAAACACTGTTATGTTTACAGGCATGGCTGGACTACAAAATCAACCTGGCAGTATTATGTTATGCTGTCGTCTAAATAGTGTTTTAATGTAATTAAAGCATGTTGGATCACTCCTCCACTGACGTCGAACGCTTACATTTACAGGAGATGGGATTAAAGTTTACAAGGATGCAAGCGGGAATGATACTGTTCAATATTTCTGCTCACCGACCACAGAACAAGCCCTTAGAAAAGCGAGACTCTGGATGCTCAGATGAAAACTCACTCTGTCGACACTTTACCAACCTTCTAACAATTCTCTCTTCCTCAAAAACTCTCTCATCCTTTCTGATCGACTTCCACAAACCCTCAAACACTTACCTGACCACTTCCTCCTCACTGGGTTTCTACGACTTTCTAAATGTAAAAATCCCAGATTTTTCTAGGCTCAACCTTCCAGAGTTTTATTGTAAAATCTAAAATATTTCAAATGAATTTAGGGAAGATGTTATCACTGCGGAAAGACGCTAAATATGAGCTGGAATAGAAACAATGAAGGAAGGAATTGAAAAAAACGGAGGGAAATAAGGACAAGGAAATGGGGAACGTACGTCAGAAGATGGAAAGAAATGCTTGACAGAAATGGGGTAGGACACAAGGAGGAAAGAAATGACAAAAGGAAGGACACAGAGGAGGAGGTAAGGAATAGTATACAATAAAAAGGAAGACATCTCTTATTTGTGCAGCAAACTTACATCTAGTTCCACCTGAACTTCCAGAGCGTCACAAGAGAACTACTGAAATGCAAACTCAATTTAAGAGTCAAGCCGAGGTCGAGCTTAACGGCAGATGAGTACAAGTTGTGCTTCAAATCAACCTCATTAAAATTAAGGACTGTTCCTCCTCCTCCTTCTACTCTCTTCAAAGCTAGAGAGGAAAAGAGTTGGGATTGAGGTGTAAACCTAGAGGATTATGGTATGAATGCTTTTAGTGTTTTGAACTTCTCGGAGGCAGAGAGATGGAGGCGAGATGTCGCCGTCGTTCTTTAGGGTTTCCCCATGGTGCTGGAGGGATAGCTAGGGATGTCGGATGAGGAGGCGCGGTAGGATTAGCGGCTGATTTACTGCCTACTCTGGCACCAATCATCGCTGGGAGACTCTGGTTACGCCTGAGGCCGTCCATCAAGCTTCCCCCGCCTGCTGACACAAAAGTGGCAGACTCTTGGTGCGGAGCTGCAGCGTCGGACTCTGAACCGTGCAGCACCTTAGCGACGCCCAAACGACGGAGTCTTTCTACCAGGCCGACGCTGACCAGGTTGGCCTTGTCTTGGCCTGGCTTGGAGGATAAAGTAGCGGTTTCCTGGGAAGGGCTTGGCAGGTCCGGGTGTGGGGCTCGGCCCAGCTTCAACCCGTACACGTCTTGGAGAAAGAGCTCAGCGGGACGGGAGGCTAGAAAATTATCAGGCGGGTGTTGGCGAGACTCTGAAGGCACGGGGGAGGGTGTGGGGGACTGGGAGGGGGAATTTGGAGGTGTGCCAGGCATGAGTCGTAACAGGGGTTGCCGTGGAGCACATCTTGGCGACAGAGTCGGGGGATGAGTGGAAACTTGTGCAGAGATACCTCTCTCCAGAACCAGTTTGGCCAGCCCGCCGGGGGGGGCTGGAAGGCGTCGAGGAGGGAAAGAGTCTCCCAAACTCAGTCTGCAGGGAGTCACAGGGGTACTTGGACCGGTTCTCATGGAGCTGGGCGTATTGGCAAGAAGGGACGACTGGGAACTTAGAAAACCAAAACAAAAAGGTAGAGTCACCATCTTTAAAACAGTTACAAAGGTCAACCTCCGTCTAATCTTTGGAGAACTCAACATGGCCTCTTAATCTAAAAATGAATCTTATCTTTTCCTTCATGCATTAAAGTCGACTTACCTCGGTGTGACCTGTGTTATGTCAGTAGGGTGGAGAATACGACAGGTTGTGAAGGTGTAGGTAGAGAACGTGGAGCTCTCACTCTTCCCTGGGTTTTGGACTAGACACAAAACAAAGCTTGTTAATACATCTCCAAGTTATAATCCAGTATTTATGGATTTAGAAATTTAAACAAATACTTTACCACGAGAAGATGATATAGAGGTGGAAGTTCTAATTTGTGATTGGACAGCTGTTGTAGAAGCTTCCGGGATGGGGTGAGGCGATTGATTGGAATTTCTTGCGACCTGATTGGGTGTCAAACATGGGTCCAACTGGACAGAGGAGGAAGTAGAAGGTGCTCCGGGTGACGTTGGTCGGATGGAGGGTAAAGGCGCACTGGTGAGAGGTGCAACCGGGTGGTTTCTGTTCTCGGGAGTGGATGAAGAGCGCACATTGAAGGTTATTCCGCCCTCCTCCTCTTCCCCGTCGAGCTCCTCTTTACTCTTCTCCGTTGTTCCTTTCTCAAGGACTGCAATCCCTCGGTGCTCTTCGCCCTCCTCATCCTCTTCCATGTCCGACAGCCGAAACACGGCATCCTGAGCCAGAGGCCGGAATCCTTTGGTCATAACTCCAGGGTGTGGGTCTAAGATGGTGGCTAGGTGAGGTTTGGCGAGCTGCTGCCAGTGATGGAGCGTCAGGGAACCTAAAGATGTTCACAATATTAAAAAAACAATAGTTTTCATTCACTCATTCAGTTCAGATGTGTATCAAACTAAAAAATACTATTACAAAGCCTATCAAACCTCTAACTATATTAAAAGTTGTAAAAATATTTTTTCGCAAATGCATAAAATTGCATTAAAAAAAAACTACATTCTTTGCTATGAAACTAGGCTCAGCTGCATCCTGATTCCTTCGACCTGATTAGGGACCAGCTGTGCACAATTTGGTTGATTGAGACATCTTTGAAACCAACTTCTTCCTTTTCTTTTCCATATCCTATTCAGAGTACATATCAGGGTAAAATAAAAGCAGGAAATATGGCTGCAAGAGCAGATATTTGCTTGCCTTGCTAGCAAAATCTACAAAACTAAAGAAGAAATGGGAGAAAAGATAAAAAAAAACAGGCTTGTCAAGTTTTCAAACATATACTAAAGGTGAGTTCTGGCTGTAATGCTGCCAAAGGTGAGCAAAGGCCAAAAATACATAATTATTTCATTTTTATAAAAAGAGTTTCTTTTGCTGTTTTGGAAAAAAGTGAAATAAGTTTAATACATTTAGACTAAAGCTTTATTGTAAAAAAAGAAAATCTAAAGAAATGCTAATATTAACACACTTACTTGTAACAGCTAGCTTAAACAATAAGAGAAAAGCCTTGAATACTATTTAAAATATAGAAAACCCATTTATTTTTTCAGCACTTAACACTTTTTACTGTAATGTAAACCTGTACTTCACCCTTGGCAGTTTTCTTCAGATTAGCAATTAGCACTTGCAAGTCAGTATAATTAAGCTAACATAATCCAGCTAATTTTAAACTAATATAGACTTTTAGATAAGAAATACAATCTTTTAGGAACTAATTAGTCTTCTAAAACTAAACTCTAAATAAGAAAGTCAGTCAAACTATATCTACAGTAGGTAACAGTTATAATGTCTGTGCTACAAAGAAACTAAATTTTTTACTAAAAGCTAAATATTCCGCTTTTTATCATATATTCTGCACCGTAGGTCTTACACTTGAGACTAATTTATCTTAAGATAGGAAGTAAAACTAAAATGAGCTTAAAACTAACTTTGCCTCAAAACAAATAAAAAAAAATGTCCCCTTTCATTTTCATAGAAAATTATTGGGCAATAGATTTTAGATTTTATTTGTAAAAATAAGATATTGAGAACATTTTTGATGCAGCATGATTGTTTAAAACACAGTGATGGGATTATTTTAGCATCTTGCAATTTTTTATACTTTAATCTTGATGAAAGCATCAAAGGCTCAACAGAAACTGCAGACAGCTATTAATCAAGTTAACTTGAATTGTTCAACAGTTCAGGACTGCATATTACATCAATAGACACATTGGTGTTTATAATACTAATTTTATAAATACATTTTTTGAATGTCTGATAAAATAGGCCAAGTTTTATAAATTATTTGATATGCTAATGTGACGTTAAGCCACTTGGGGAGATGCTCATGGCAACAGATGCTGTAAACTGGTTCAGATGACTTTCCTCTAAATGAGCCAAGATGGGAAAGAAAGGAAACTTTCAAATAGCCATAAATCTAAGCTAACGTTGTCATCGAAGTGAGACGTAACCCGAGTCTCCCAGTATTTGCATGCATGTGTTAAAAAATGTCATAAAATAAGCTTCTGTTTTATTTTCTATTGAAGAAAACTATTACCGTATTTTCCTGAATACAATAAGCTACTTTTTTTTTCCAAGCTTTGAACTATGCCGCTTATAAGGTGCGGCTTTTCTGTAGAAATAAAAGAATAAGGGGCTAATTTTCATTTAGCATAAGAACATGCTAGCAGTAGACATGACGGAGAACAAATGTCTCGAATTCAAATATTTTGACATTAAGGGCGGGTTATACTTCTGCAACTGCACATATCAAATGTCGCTTGCGTCTGGTCGCGAACCAGTTTTGCTGGTACGCTTCTGCAACGTCGGTCTGGAATTTCTAGGGATGCACAGCAGTTTCCCGCCAAAACGCTAGAGGGAGCCTATTCGAGAACTCGCGAGAACTTCGGCGGATGGTCACGAGAACCTCTTCGGTGGCGCTGGCAGGAGTCTTTATTTTCAGAAAACATGTCTGAGGCATCGTACAAGTGGTTGTACTTCCGAACCTCCTCGATCAACCTTTCGTCGAAGTTATCCGTTATTGTTATTACTCCTTGGTTTTTTTAAAATGGCGCGCCCCGGCACCGAATCGACAAGGACGACCACACAGACAGCCGAAAAGCCATACCAAGGACCAATCACAGCTGCTTTTGGTCTGCGCACTTCCACTTGAGGTCTGCGCGGGTTTTCGACCATCCGACGTGTAGTCAGGATTTTTTTGGGGTGCACGGGGCGCGTGTTCGCGCACAGAGGCTATGCGTCAGAAGTATAAATTGGCCTTTATTTGCCACATTAAAGCTGCCGAACCAATGAAGAGACTGGGCTCAACTCCTGCAGAGCTGAAATAAAGAGCTAAAGAAGCACATCTTTGAGTAGAAGCTCTTACTGCTGTGAGCCAACAAGCTAACAGGAGCTAGCATTCTTCTTCGTCCCTACTCTAGGGGCTATATGTAGAGCTCCCCCTACAGGTTTAGTGGGAGAAGCTTCAGTAGATATCAGCACCTTATAGGTTGGTGCGGCTTATATATGCAAGTTTCCATAAAAAAATAAATTAAAATTAGTGGCCGCAGCTTATAGTGAGGTGCGCTCTATATTCTGGAAAATACGGTAATTGAACTAAACTAGTTAATAGCTCCACCGCTGCATTTTAAACATGTTATGAATTAAGTATTAAAATAATGAGGCGGCAGTTAATTCATTACCTTCCATCGGCTTGACGATCTGAAGCTTCTCAGGCAAGAACGTCTTGAAAACGGTGGAAGCAACTGTGAGATCGGAGAGGTTTGAAAACGAGGAGAGCACGCTGCCCATAGGGGAGCTGCAGCCACTGCCATCTCCATCTGCTTCTGCCCCCGACAGGGTCTGCAGCTTCTTCTCACGCTCCGTTTGAAAGAACTGGTGCTCAGAAAGGAAGTTTTGTCGCCGTAAAGACAGGCGATGGAGAGCTTTGGTGAGGTCGTTTCCACCTGGCGATCCTGGCTGCCCCCTTCTTACCTCCTCCCTTCAAAAGGACATGCATCACCACTTTAAATACGTCGTGGTATTTTGATGGCAGGTCAAAAAAGGTAATACTGCCTTACCCTTGTACAGACGGGAAAGGTTGGGCTGTCATAACTAAAGAACTCTGTCCAGAACCGGGGATAGGCGGGGCGGCCAGAGCAGCACGAGAAGCTGAGGCGTTAACCGAGCGAACAGTTTGAAAGACTCTCTTCTGGGAAATTCTGGGGAGATCAAATATGATACAATTCATTTTAAAGGGTTAATATATCATGCTTTTGCACATTTTGATTATTTGCAGATGACACTGTTGTGTATGTTTAAGTTTGAAATAAGGGTTCAAACTGATCAACTTGGCCTAAAGAGATGGAAGATTCTGTTCCATTTGGGTCTCCAACCTTTGGTCTTCAAAGGCGGTCTCCTCCTCAATGCTTAGCTCTCTCCTCATTGAGCCTTCAATCTCTGCTGCTAGCGATTCCTGAGACAGAATGGCGTTAACATTCCCAAGAAAGGGAACTTAAAACATTTCAATATAATGTGTATTCATTTCTAACTCGTACGTTTTCTTACCATGGGGTAGAGACCATAGGAGAGGTGTCGTCTAATCCCAGAGGAGGGGCTGCTTCTACTGCGAAGCTCTTTAATCTCCTCCTGTGACTCATGAAGCATTTCCACACACTCAGCGTTCCTTTCTGACAGCTCGTTTAGCTGCCGGGAGCACAAACAAGCACAAGATGCAGTCCAAACATTCAAATGTTCTTCTGTAAAAGTTATGCTTAATAATAATAATAAAGTTCAGCATGAGTTGCTAAATCTGTACCTCTGCTGTTAGCTGTCTCTGAGCATCTTTGGAGGCCTGAAGATGGATCCTGAGCTCTTCTTTCTCAAGAGCCAGCTTCAAAGAACCGTCAATGGAGAACAAGACTTTAGACGTTTATTTATTTTCTGTTAAATGTGGTTTAAGCTAGGAAAAACCAGTTGTGCTCACCTCCTTTACTCTGTGTTGCAGCTCCACTATCTGAGAAAGCAGCTGAGCGATTTCCTCCTGGTGTCTGAGCAGCTCTTCGTTCTTCTGAGACAACTCATCGCTCAGAGACACCATCTGACTGTTGGACTCGCCTGAGATGAGGCAGAGCCATCAATACAAGGCAAAGCTACTGCAGTTTGATAGAAAAATGTTCAGAAGTTTGATTGCCTTTTTATTTTATACACAGATTTCAAAACGCTTAATTGAAATTCAATGAAATGAGTCAACAAAGCACAAATCTGACCTTAATTATGTAAAAATTCAACCGTACACTGCTTCCTCAGTCAATCGCATATAATCCTTAGTAATAATTAAGTTTTTCTAGTTGTAATATCACAAAATAAGAATGATTTTGACAGCTCTTCTTTGTTAAAAGGCCTTAGGTGTGTGTATGTGTACTAATGACTCACGAAGTTCCTTAACGCAGTCGCTGACGAGCTGCTGCTCCTTCTCCTCATACGTCACAGTATCCCTCTTCAGCTGACATGCCTGGAAGAAAAAAATACAATATTCCCATTTCTATATCTAAAAAATATATATCTTGGGTTAAAAAAAATAATAAGATAGTGCTTTGAGTGGAAGCTAAGGTAAATAGAGGGTTGGATAGAATCAGGAAAAATACTTTTCTTAGTAATGTTGGTTAAACTGTACCTCAGATCTCAGCGCCTGGTTCTCCTCCTCCAGCTCTTCCAGCTTGTTCTGCAGATGCTCCAGCTGGCTGAGTGTGGCGGCGGCGGTTCCCCCCAGCAGCTGAGGTGGCTGCTGGGGGGTCGACACGCTGGAGTCTTGCTCACCCTCCTCCGAGGCACTGGCCACTATCCGGAGGAGTTCATCCTTCTTAGTTAGCTCATGCTGGAGCTGGTTAACCTGGAACGGAACAATAGAAGGTAGAAACCAAGCAATTTAGCTGTATAATGGTTTGCAAAATGATTAAAAGCATATTTAGGGCAAGCTTAAGCATCTTAAAGAGACATATCTTTAAAATTCTTGGTAGGAAAACAGAAATAAGTGTACTCAGACTCTATGACTTTGTTATCTATTAAAACAAGAAGCAACAGAGCTCAATCTGAGGCTAAGAAAGTATAGGTTGTATAATATTTTCGTACCACTTATATACATATTTTTAACCAAGGATTTCTTCTTTTGATTCCTTAAATGTTTGACTTGCTGTATTTGAATATATATGCATTATATAGATTAGATTAACTATGATAAAAAGATCTTTAATTCATTGAAAGATTTTTTTGTGGCCTCTTGCAGATTTGTATTAGAGTACCGCTTCCCGAACTGATCTAATTTAGTAATTTATCCAACATTTTAAGAAGAGTTCATAGTAAAAAATAAATCATTAAAATGAATAATACAAAGGACTGATGTTAAACTTTGTGGAAAAATAAGCACCTGGTCTACAGCTTGTGCAAGCTGCTCCTCCAAGGCGTCATTTCGTTCTTGCAGCAGGTGGTTTCTCTGCAGAAGCGACTGGCCGATCCGAGCTGCAAGCTCCAAGTCTCTGTCCCGCTGTTCAATGAGACGACAAGACACTCAGAGTTCATACGCTTAACGGGCTGCAGCTTTGTTTAAAAAAAAAACACCAAGGGACGCATACCTCAGCTAAAAGATGTGTGACCACTTCGATGTCATTGTACGTCTTGGTCATCTGCTCCATTCGATCGGAACTGAGGACTAAACGAGGAAAATTAAGCTAGATTTCATGTTATCTACCATGATTGCTGCAGCACATCAACCAAGATCTACGCCCATGCAACTCAAACCAAAACTTTAAATTAAGAAAAAAACAAGCACAGTTTCACCCGAAACTACAGAAAGCAAATGGAATGCTAGATTTACTAACTACCTAACAAACGTACACTCAGAAAAATAAAAATAAGACGCCAAACCAAAAGTTCTATAAAAGCTGTTAAAAATTCAGCAGATCTATTCACCTACTGCTGTTATCTAAAAGCAAACGAGCAGAAAACGGCTCCAAGCCTCAGTGCATCGAAAACATAAGCCACTGTCGCACACTGATGCTCAACAGGAAGTTGGAATAACAGACAGACAGGCAGGCAGGGAGGGAGAGCCGAATACCTTTGGAGAGACTCTGAGAGCCATGGTGGGAATAAGAAGCAGGATCCAAAGCAAGATAAGCTACAGAGAGGAGGAGGAAGGAAAGGTTTATTAAGAAGCGTGTTTATATATGCAGCGCTTTGCAAGTATTCATAGTCCTACATTTTCTTTTCTCCACATTTTAATAGTGAGAGCCAAACACAAAGTAGAGAATCACTGAATAACTGAATAAAGGGGGGAAAAAAGAAAAATAACAAATCTGAAAAGTGTGGCATGTACTAGTAGCCTCAGACTCTTATTGGAGAAATCAGTGGATTAAAAGAAAATCTCACAGAGCTCTGCTTAATCCATCATCAGAATATGGGATGTTCGGGGAGCTGCAGAGATAAAACACTCAACAAAAAAGTCACTACAGTAAGAAAGTTGTAAATCTCTAGGAATGTACTTGTAGTTTCCCACAAGTCATGTTGGGGAACAAATTCCTCTAAAAACTAAACTTTTTGACTATAAAATTAAATTACTAAAAGTGTCCCACAGGTGGCGGCAGCATCATTCTATGGGGGTTTATTTGTCTGAGCTAACTCTGGGGTTTAATATGTTAAATATAAAAACTTTGTATCTGGAATCAGTTGCTGCAATAGAAAGTGTTTGGATTGGGTGGCCTGAATAAAAACTGGTTCAACTCTTTGGTTTAGTTTTCTTAAAAGAATAATTTTAAAAATCATGAATTGCAGTCCTAACCATTAAACACTACTTTTTAGTTTTAGTTTGAGTAAAATACCAAGAGTTAAAACTGAAGTGAAAGAAAATGGAGGAAGGTGACGCCTGCAAAGCACTGTCACAAGAGAATTCACCAGAGAAGAGCAGTAGAAAGGGAAATAAACTGATATAAGGGGGGCATAAAGTTGGAGAGAGAAGCAAAGAGTGAGAGTAAAGATTTAAATACATCAGTTTTAGGCACCCTGAGGATCTAATGATTAGTCTGATCTGCTTTTAGCACCTGAGCAGGTCTCAGCCGGCTGCACAGACAGCTCCCCCAGTTCCACCTGTTTAAAGAGAAGCAGCAGCTCTGATCACTCAGTCTGAGCGGCCAGGCATCTTCCCAAATCAAGCCTCGTACTTCTACAATGATAGACTTATTCTCTTCACTTTCCTATTAAAATAATCTTCCACTGATTGAATAACAAACATAGTTGACACAGTTTCAGGATAACGACTCGAAGGATAATTAAGTGCAAAGAGCAGCAAAAGATCAGATCTCCTCCCCCATGCTCTGCTAATGTAATAAAAGCCTTTAAGCAGACATTGAATCTAAAGCAGTGATGCAGCTGCTGAAAACAGACCAGGGCGCCAATTCAGTAATTTGAGAGCCTCAACGACCTCTGGGTCCCGCTGCCCTCTCCTCCAATCTCAGCCGGCTGAAAATAACCCAGAAAAACCGGCTCCAGCGCGTGCACGGGAATATCGCTTTACCTTGCGGCTGGAGCGTATCGCCGGGCTTACAGTAATCCACATCCATGCTACAGTTTTGATCATATTGACTTGCAGGAATGCTCCCAAGTGTTTATTATGTTTACCTAGAAAGTTACATAGAAGGAAGACGACTGGACTTTGCCCACAATACGTTGCATAACCGAGAAGTTCAACTTCTTACATAATGAGGCGAGTTATTTAGACATTTATTACTTTTATTCTTCCAATGAAACGCCGGCGCTTTGGTGTTACGGCAGCTTGGGCCTTTGGTCCAATAACCCAACATTATGATGCGTTACAGTTTCCTATGGTCGTATAGGAAACCAGTCATCAGGCCATGAAGCAAAGGTTGAATCTCAGTCACTCCTGGACTAATTTGATGTCTTGGTAAACAGTTTGAATTCTTCTAACTAAAGCTAGTGATTAATGATGAACTTTCACTGTGTTGCAGTCAAATTCATTAACATTCTGGGTAGAACTTTAAGATATTCGAGATACAAAACGGATTCTCTAGACTTTGACTAGGCCATTTTGAAACACTGTAGCTCTGGTCGCCGCCTTCCAACTGGATTCCATCCAGGATTTTCTTGCTTTTCTTAAATCAGTTTCAATTACAAGCTTCCCTGCTTAAAAAAGAATCTCCACAGCACCATAATGCCAACACCTTGTTATAAAACTGGCTGCAGTGTGGTTTTGACCAAAGCAGTGCATGTAGGCTAAAAGTTTAATTTTGGCTCCAGCTGAACACACTGGAAAAACAATCTAGAAATAAGTAAGTAAGTGTATTTACCCTAAATTTGAGCAGGTAAATAACTAGTTTGCCAATGGAATTAGTATTTTTACTCTTAAAATAAGATAATTTGCACTTGAAATAAGACAATGAAATTGTGTTTTCTTATTTTAAATACCAATTGTCTTGTTCCATTGGCAAAATGTCTCTTTTACCTCCTCAATCCAAGAACAAATGCACTTATTTTAAGAAAAAATGACTTATCTAGATTTTGATTTTTTTTCCATTGCAAAGCTCCTTATTTAAAACCTTTGCCCAGCTCTCCTCTTCTCTTAATAGTATGTTAAAATCATGTAAAAGGGTATGAATACTTTTAAAATACACCGTATTTAGTCAAATTAAAGTATGTCAGGAAGTCACAGCCTCTTATTTTTGTCTCTGCATTGACGCGTTCAGCATACCGGACCTCTTTAAGAGCTATTAATAGACCAATGAGGCAGATATAAACTGAAACCTGCTACAGAAATTTTACAATATTTCATCCAAACCTTTTTTAGTGTTTAGTTGCAGATTATGGTGCATTTTAAAGCACAGCTTTGTAGCAGAATGGAAAAAGGAAGCAGCCTTTTTTTGAACTAGAAGCGCAGTTCCTGCTCACCAGCACTTGGTTGACTGTACAGTAAACAATGCCAAGACTCACCCTACTTCCTTTCTCATGGCCGGAGCGTTTCTTTCCATGCTCTCCCTGACCTTGCTGAACATAAACGCACACACGGAGAACAAACCAGCAGAGAGCTTGCTGTGCTCACCTTCCACGGCGACGGCATCATAAACCTCTTCATTGCGGATGTTTAAACCCGGCATGCTGCGTCCCTTTTCTCTACTGTCCTTTCCTCCCGTCTGTCCTCCCAAGAATCCCCCCTCCCCTAACCTCCCGCCATTTAGACCCGGTCTCGTGACTCTGGCCCTTGTGCTACACTCTGCCAGGCTCAGTGCATTCCTCTTTAGTTCTCACACACACAACGAGGCAGATGCACAGATCAACTCTGTCGGATTTTATACACAACAAAAATCCCTCCCATTTTTAACGAAACAGGAAGTAAGCCCTGTAAAATGAATCCATCATGCGCAAGATGCCCCAAGAACCTCGCTGATGAATGTTGATGCACACTTACTCATGTACCGGAGAGTCTCTTCAGCCAGCATGGGGGAGATGGAGTTAACCTGAGCGGGGGTTTCATCCGGAGAGCAGCTCGGGGAGACCACCCAGTCCTGACTGTCGGACAGGTACAGGGAGCCGGAGCCGGCCGAGCAGGAGCCCAGAGAGCTGGAGGTGTAATGCCTCCCGCTGCTGCCCAGCCCCTCATCTGGAAGCCAAGCAGACAATAGAATAATTAAGCTCCTGATTTTAAGCTTGTTTCTTTTATCAAGAAGCAATTGATTAATTTCTTTCTTCTTTGAGTTCTTGGGATCTGCTGATGGAGGGCTGCAATGAGCTCCAGCTTTCCTCAATTGGTGGTTGCAGGCTAATCAGCGGATCAAACCATTTGTAATGGGAAGGGAAATTTGTTTACCATTTGTTTAAATATTCTTAGTTTGGGTAATTTTGTTAAATAGTTAAATTTAAAAAGTATTTAGTGTCTGGCCAGTTTTTATTTAATTAAATGTATTTGTTTATTAGTTTGTTAGTCAGTTACCCCCCTTGTGTGTCAACAGTGGTCTGATCAGCCACTATTTAAGTTTCCCTCATGTCCTGTTTCTTAAGTCAGTTTGTGCTTGATTTCTTTATGTTAAAGCCTCAATTGAATTCTGTTTTGTTGACCTCTGTTTATCATTTTTTGAATATTTTTGGAATAAATTAAGACTTTTTTTTTTTTATTTCAGTGGTTTTTTGGCTGGTTTGTGCAAATCCCTCACAGGAGAATTACAAAAAAAAAAAGACTCCATTGGATTTAAATCCCAAAAAGAGGAAGCTTTAGACATGGAAAAGATTTCTAAAGTCTTGTTCTCTTTGTGTTGCTCTGCAGCTCCAGTGAATGAATGAGTGTTTCCTCTGTTTGGGCCTGGAGCTGAACAGGCCAATGACCTTCCACTTGGGCAGATATGTGGTTAACTGGGACATGAGCTAACAATAGCATCTGATGTAACGACTAGACATACTGTACTAAAGAGAAGCAGGGCTGTTAACACCAACGTGTGTCATGACGTGGCAGTGGATTCACACAAAAGGCAAAAAAACGTAGGAAACTTGTACGCGATGACGAAAACGGATCCTCACCCGTCTCCGTGCTGGACTCCTTCTTCTGCACAGCTCGCGTTTTCGCTTCAAACATGTCTCGTCCTCGGAGGGGGGAACGAGGGGCTCCCCGCTCCAAAGAGCACAAAGCTGGACAAGACAGGAAGGCAGTCACTGCTGTGACATCACATCCTGATGCTGTGCTGATGGGTGGTGACCTCATGCACACCTTTACCTGCAACAGATGGGAGAATAATCCAGGGTTAAGGCTAATTTATGCTTCTGACGCATCGCCTCTGCAACCGTCAAATCTGTCTCTGTGCGTGACTACGCTTCGGATGGTCGCAAACCCATGCAGGCCTCAAGCGGAAGCACGCAGACAAAAAGCAGCTGTGATTGGTCCTTGGTATGGCTTTCCGGCTGTCTGTGTGGTCGTCCTCGATTCAGTGCGGGCGCACCATTTTTAAAAAACCGAGGACCAACTACGACGAAAGGTTAATCGGTCCTTTTGCTAACTCCATTAACAGAACCTGTTCCTCTTCGATGTCTAGCAACTCTAGATTTATCGCTGTGACGGTGATATCTTGCAGACGCGCTATTGTTGTTTTGGAAGATAAAAGCTTCCGCCGCCGAAGTTCTCGCGATTTCTCGAGTAGGCTCCCCCTTGCATTTGGACGGAAAACTGCTTTGCGTCCCTAGAAATTCCAGACCAACGGGGCAGAAGCATATCAACAAAAGCGACATTTGATGTGTGTGGATGCAGAAGTCTAATCTGCCCTTTAGGGAGAACCGATTTCGCCGAAATAAAATAGAAAGTTGA